AAGGAAGGAAGGAAGGAAGGAAGAAAGGAAGAAAGGAAGGAAGGAAGGAAGAGAGGAAGGAAGGGAGGAAGAAATGGAGGAAGAAAGGGAGGAAGAAAGGAAGAAAGAAAGAAGAGAGGGAGGGAGGGAGGGAGAGCAGAAGGAGAAAGAAGGGAGAGAAGGAAGAAAGGAAAGAAGAAAGGAAGGAAGGTGGAAGGAAAGATATAATTAGAAAATAGTGCATGTGAGGAAGGAAAGGAGAAGAAATATGAGAAAGAAAATGAATTCATCTGAATTTCTATTTTTATTTTTTTATTGTGAAAATAACCTACAGAGAGGTTACAATTACATAAGCAAGTTAATGAGTACATTTCTGATCACAAGTTATTGTCTCCTCCTTTGTTTCTCCTTACCATCACATCCCATCTCCCCACCTGCCCCCTTGTCCCCACTCCCACTCCCCACCCCCCCAAAGTTCTAAAGTTTGTTTTTCAACATAATGTCTTGTAAATCTCATTGTTGCAATGGGTCCACCTGTATCCCTTTTTTAAAAAATTTGTTTTTTCCCTTCCCTTCCACAAATTATACCAACATCAAATACAGCTAAAACAGGCGTATGGGGGAGGGACATACAATGAAACAAAGAAATCATCTTATAAATATTTTAGAAACAATAGCAAGAAAGAAAAAGCATTTGTGTCTTTATCTTAGGGTTCATTTCACCTAACATCAACTTATCTGACAGTTTCTGCTTGTCTCAGATGTATACTAGTTATTGCAAATAAGGAAAACCATGGGGCCTATGTTTCTTTGGGCCTGGCTTACTTCACTTAATATAATTTTTTCCAAGCCTTTCCATTTCCTAACAAATGGGGCAATGTCATTCTTTCTGATGGAGGCAAAGCATTCAATTTTGTATATATACCACATTTTCTTGATCCATTCATCTACTGAGAGGCATCTGGGTTGTTTCCATATCTTAGCTAAGGTAAATAATGCTGCAATAAACATAGTTGTGCTGATAACTTTATTATAGTCTTGTTCATGATCATTTGGGTAAATGCCCAAAAGTGGGATTTCTGTTTCATAGGGGAGCTCTATGTGGAGTCTTTTGAGGAACCTCCATGCTACTTTCCAAAGTGTTTGAACAAGTTTACACTCCCACCAACAATGCAGTAGGCTTCCCTTCTGTCCACATTCCCTCCAGCATCTGTTGTTATTAGAGTTCTTGATTATATCCATTCTGACTGGGGGCGAGGTAGTATCTTAGTGTTGTTTTGATTTGCATTTATTTCATAGCTAGGGAGGTTGAGCATTTCTGAAAAACTTTTATATAGAGAGTTACCCTATTTTTTATTGAAAGCAATACAGACCAGCATGTGAATCAGGGAAAATGAGCTGCTTGAGTGGAGGGCGATGAGAGGAAAGAGAAGTACTGAACCCGACTAATAGTGATCCTCACTCCTCACAAGACATGGAGCAGTGTATGAGGTGTCCAGATCTTCAGTTTGCCAACACTGAGAGAAAACGCTGCCTGATGAAAACTGAGAGCTTCCTAGCTTATGAAGACACCTTGGGCATGACTCTGACCTGCACAGCTCTCTGCTGCTCTGCAGTTACAGCTGTTGTTCTTGGGGTATTTATCAAGTACCAAGACACCCCCATTGTCAAGGCAATAACCGGGCCCTCAGCTACATCCTGCTCATCTTCCTCATCTGCTGCTTCCTCTGCTCCTTTCTCTTTCTTGGCCATCTGCACACAGCAACCTGCATCCTCCAGCACACCACATTCGCAGTGGTCTTTACCGTGGCTGTCTCCACGTTCCTGGCCAAGACCATCACAGTGGTGCTGGCCTTCACCCTCACAGCTCCAGGGAGAAGCATGAGGCAGTGGCTGGTGTCCCAAGCTCCTAACCTCATCATCCCCATCCAGGTGACCTTCTGTGGACTCCGGCTGCGAATCTCTCCTTCCTTTGTGGACAGAGATGCACATTCTGAACATGGCCAGGTCGTCATCCTGTGCAACAAGGGCTCCCTCACTGCTTTCTACTGTGTTCTGGTATACCTGGGCAACCTGGCCTTGGCCAGCTTCACGGTGGGTTTTCTGGCCAGGAACCTGCCTGACACCTTCAATGAGGCCAAGTTCCTGACCTTCAGCATGCTGGTGTTCTGCAGTGTGTGGCTCACCTTCCTGCTTGTCTACCACAGCACTAAGAGGAAGGTCATGGTAGCTTTGGAGGTCTTCTCCATCTTGTCCTCTAGTGGAGGTCTCCTGGGCTGCATCTTTGCCCCCAAGTGCTACATTATATTGATAAGACCTGAGAGAAATTCCCTGAATAGGTTTAGGGAAAGATCACCTGGAAGAAATCAATCTTAAGATGAATGTAATTTTGTCGAGAATGCTTAGAAGTTCTGAGACACAGGTATGCAATTTTGGCAGCCAAAAATCAATTTAACCTAAGGAATTCTTTCAACAAATAAATTACTCTTATTCATTTTGCTGGTTATATTAAAGTCACAGCAAGTTTCCATCTAGATGTTGTACATTTGAATTTTATCTTAGATATCCTTTGTTTCCTCCAATGTAATCTGCTTTTATTCTATCAATCATCCTTTTGAGTACATTATCTACTGTGATTCTTCCTTTCCCTGTATGTAGGCTATATCACTGCTTGCATATCACTATATTGATCACTGATATATGAACATTCATCTTGGTAAAGTTTCCATGCTTTGATTCCAATTAATTGAGTACATTTTCTGAGAAATTTGTGTATTTCTGTTCACATATTTGCTGTTTTGCAATATTACTGAGTGTGTTTTCCTAGGAAATTTCTCCTACTCAACCCCCTCCCTCGCTCTCTTCTGCCCTTTAGTATTTTAGTTCAGGATATTAATCAGCACCAGTATCTCATGGGAATCTCTATGTGTACCTTTTCCTGGAAAAAGGGTCAGGGCATCAACATGACAGGCTGTCCAAATGAACCACTGGAGGAATAGTTTGGTTATTGATGATTATTTCTCACTGGAAGTTGAAGATAGAGTTAGCATGACTGTCAGAGCTGAGCATTGTCACTTCACTCTCTAACAATCCTCAACAATTCAACCATTCAGAAGGCTCCCTGAAGAAATCAAAATCTGTTGCCTGTTAATTTGGAATGTGAGTTGAGGCTCCTTGACTTGCCATTTTTCTTGTGTTTCTATGGCTTGTTCTGCCCACTTGGATATGGCAACAGAGCACTCAATGAAAAACCCAGAGGACAGTTCTCAAAATGCTCTAGAAACACTACTGGTAAGCATGCTGAATGAAAAGGGCCCTTTTAGTGGCAGAGTTTAAGGGAAAAGCTATAAGAAAAAAATTGGGAATCTAGATGTGAAAGAAGTTAATGAGGCCAAGAAGGACCAGATGGCCTTAGACAGAGGCAGCACTAATGGAGGAGTTTTTGAATTCTGCAGAGAGGTATAGCTTGTCACTGATGTGAAATAATGACCCCAAGTGTAACTAACAGCTGGCATAACTGGACCTTGTCTTTCAAGTTTCTGTAGCCCCAAGAGAGTTAAGAAGGAGAATGGAATGCTTGATATTTATTTATTTTTACTAATTCCTAAAAGATATTTATTACTAGTTTTAAATTTAAAAATTTCAGTTATTATAAAGGTAATATACAGGGGGATTACACTTACCCAAGTCAGGTAAAGAATACATTTCTTTTTGGACAATGTCATCTCTTTCCTTGCTCTTTCCCAGTTTTTCCCTCCATTTCCAACCACATGTTGTATAGTTCATTTACCACATAGTGTCTAGTGAGTACAAATCATGCATTGGTTCACTCTTTGTCCCTCCATTTCCCTAATCAAATTGTAAAGGCCTCGCCTCTTAATACTGTCATATCAGAGAAGATACATTCAAACCATTGCAAAGACAAAGCTGAAGGAAGAGCTGTGGATCTGAAGAGTGAAAAAGTTCAGGTGGTAGAAAATCATTGCCTTTTAAAAACAGTGGATATGGGCTGGGATGGTCGCTCAGTGGTAGAGCGCTTGCCTTGCATGCCTGAGGTCCTGGGTTCGATTCCTCAGCACCACATAAGCAAAAAAAAAAAAAGCCGGAAGTGGTGTTGTAGAGTGCTACCCTTGAGCTGAAGATCTGAGGGACAACGCCCAGACCCAGAGTTCAGGCCCCACAAGTGGACCCCCCCCAAAAAATAAATAAAACAAAAAAACTACAAAAAAACTACTTAAAGATAATACATATAAAATATATGATATGAAACACTACATATTAACAGATGATTGTACATGTTTATTATTAACATGTACAACATGCTTGAATGGATTTATTTTAATGAATGCAGAGTATCTGTACACTGAAAAAAAACTGTCTCTATTTTTCTATGCTTTTTTGCTGTCTGTCTACCACCTTTGTGATTCCTAATGCTCTTCCTCTCTTTCTTTCCCTACAATATAATCTTCACTTTTTTTCTCTCTTTTTTTTCTTTTGAGCTGACCCTGGGGCTCGAACTGGGGGCTTGGGCTCTGTCCCTGAGCTTTTCTGCTCAAGGCTAGCATTCTAACACTTGAGCCATAGCTCTACTTTCTTTCCTGTGTATATTGATTCTTCACATTCATGGGGACAAAAGTGTTGGTGCTTGTAATCTGACATCTTCTCCTGACTCCTTTTTTTTTTTTTTTGTCTTTTCTTTTTTGGTACTGGGGATGGAACCCAGGACATTGCACTTGCTAGGCAAGCACTTTTCCACTGAGCTACATCCCAGCCCTCCTGACTCCTTCTTTATTTTTTTTTGGTCCAGTCGTGGGGCCTGAACTCTGGGCCTGAGCACTGTCCCTCAGCTCTTCAGCTCAAGGCTAGTGCTCTACCACTTGAGCCACAGC